ATCATTCTGTGTATTTCTCCCCCTAGCAGGCTATGTGACATGGATCATTCTGTGTATTTCTCCCCCTAGCAGGCTATGTGACATGGATCATTCTCTGTATTTCTACTCCTAGCAGGCTATGTGACATGGATCATTCTCTGCATTGCTCCTCCTAGTAGGCTATGTGACATCAATCATTCTTTGTATTTCTCCCTCACCCTAGTAGGTTATGTGACATGAATTATTCTCTGTATTTCTCCCCCTAGCAGGCTATTTGACATGAATCATTCTCTGTCTTTCTCTCCTAGCAGGCTATGTGACGTGGATCATTTTCTGCATTTGTCCCCTAGCAGGCTATGTGACATGAATCATTCTTTGTATTTCTCCCCCTAGGACTAAAAAATCTGTTCCTTTGTTTTGTGCACTTGTGCCATGCAGAAACCTGTTTTCCAACTTGATTGGTATTGCATTATCACTGTATTCACTGTGACAGTGGTACTGCAAGTTACCTGGTGATTTCTCACTGACTTTTAGTGCCCTCTCATTGTCCAACTAAGAAACCACTTGAAAATGGTTAATTGCCAGAATTGTTTTGTTCATGTCATAACTGTATTATAAGGCCTTTACAGGCTATGCCTGTATTTATATATGTCAATTAACTTCTCAGGGTTGTCTGTTTAGTAATTGGCAGGCTGTGTAGATATTTTAGAGCTGGGCAATTAGTGGTATTTTCTAATCAATCTAGTAATTATCCAATTGATAGATTACAATAGATTAGTACAGTGTTCCTTCTACCATGGGGTGTTTATCTTCCTTCTAGCCAGCAGTTAAATATTAGTGACAGATGCCATCTGTTGATAGGGCAAGGAAGTTTGGTGACAATATTTTGTTTACTTGGAATGATTGGAAATCCTAATTTGATAATTTTTTGTGACAGTTGACTTAATCATAATTTTGATTAAATTATTTTTTGAATACTTAGAAACAGTAAATGGAAACACTGATTACAGTTAGTTGATTATTTTTGTGACAATCAATGTCACCAAAATTTAGATTAACCAATTAGTTTATGAGAGATTAATAAGTGTAATCACTGTTCATAGGTTATTGATTTTTATCATCCAGTTCTTAAAAAATTGTTGTGTTTTACCTATATGTACATTCTCCTTTCAATATGTCATGTATGTAATTGTAAATAACACTTTTTTGTCTTCTAAAAGTAAATCCACAGTGAACATCAGCATAGAAGCCATGCAGAAGACGATAGAGAGTTTAGATTTAAATGACTTACAACGAAAACGTTTGGTTGACTTCTTGACTCAGAAGCAGAAGGTTAAAGAATTAAATAATGATGACTTCCAGAATTTAGGTGAACTTGGAGCCGGTAATGGTGGAGTAGTAACTAAAGTCCTTCATAAACCAAGTGGAGTAATCATGGCCAGAAAGGTATCTGTCCTTGTCTGCATTTTGTGTGTCATAACTTGTATTGTAAACTGGACTTCTAGAAAACTGTGCTCAAAATACATGTCTAGTTGTCTTTCATTAGATATCTCTTAATTACATTTTGTAATTATAATTACTGTTCTATGTCAATATAACAAAAAAATGTAGATATTTTTATAATATTTAAAATATTAAGAGAGTAGTTAAAGTAAGTACCATGACTTGCAGAGATTAATAACTGTAACATACGAGTTCCCATTACAAATACACACCATAAAGTAAAAGGCATAAATTTGAATTGATTAAATATACACTACAGTAAAAATTAAGAACTAAACATGTAACTTGATGCTTTTTGTAATTGGGTTCATATTTCAGTTCATAAATCAGCTTCATGAATTGAATGATAATTAAAGTTTATGGCATGAAACGATATGCACATTCAGCAAATAATTGAAATCTTAAGTACTAGCCTCTGCTATTCTATATGTAGTAATGTACTGTAAATCAGAGTAGGTTTTTCAAGAGTAGACTTATTTATAATGCTGTTATTTTTTCTTAGAATACATATATTTCAAAAACTTCCTGATACATTCATAAACATTAAATATACTTGGATATGTGCTGTAATTATCTGAGTCTAATTTTAAATGTTACTATTTTGGAAGTGGTATAAATCTCAATAGCTGTATCCCAAGTAGATACATATATTATGGCTTACTTGATAGGAATTTTGTCTGTTGTTGCTATTATATTGTTAAGTTATACAACATAGACCATATGAAGAATTCACAACCAGCTGATAAGGATCTTTTAAGTTAAAATGTTTGACATGACAAGTTTATTATGTACATATATCAGCTTTATGATTCTTAGTTTCTGAAGTATACATATGATTATTGCTGTTGCTAAAATGGAAAATAATCGTGTTATTTCAGGAAATTCATGAGAAGCAAGTAATCCATAGTTTATCTTTTGTTTGGGTGTTCTGCCTTGATAAGGCTATTATGTGATACTGATATGTTACACTGTTCACTAAGAGTATAAATCATAAAAAAATGAGTAGTTGTGTAAGACTGTTGTTGATGTACACAGTAAATGCAGCTATGTTTACCTTGACATCTTGCTATGGATTTACTATATACAGTAGATATGTTTGCCTTGACATCTTGCTATGGATTTACAATAGAGAGTAGTTACATTTGCCTTAGCATCTTGCTATGGGTTTACCATAGACAGTAGTTACACTTGCTTTGATATCTTGCTATTAGTTAACTAAAAAGAGTAGTTATATTTGCCTTGATATCTTGCTGTGGGTTTATGTTATGTATTAGAATTTCAAATTAATACACACAGTTTTCTTTTTTTTTTAACACAAATATGTTTCAATATACATGCAACAATACAATTTACAATAACAATTATAAACAAAAGTTTCACAAACTTACAAGCAATATGAAGTCTTTTTTTAGTCTGAAACTTCTTCGATATCTTATCGAGGGTTCACGATGAGCGAGTTAATTACGAGCTGACGTAGGTATAATTCACTTAACAGGGATGTAGCTAGCTTTGCCCTTCGTTATTCACCAGCTACACATGCTGATTACAGGTTGAATTTCTTTTACCGCTGAAATTATATAATATCTTCGTAAAGGTACAAATGTCCAATATGAATCCACTAAAGTTAAATGATTTTTAAGGTTCAAATTTTGTAAATGCTCCTGGTCAAATATCTGAAGTTTTCCAGTTGACAAGTATTATAACAATCACAGTTATAGCTTCTGATGTTTATAGCGCACTGACCATAGCAAACTAATAATAGATACTATTTTTTTGGCCCATAGCATTGGTTATATTTATAGGCGTGTGGACGCTTTCTCGAAATTTCAGTTTTACGTAACAATACTGAGCTACATTTAAGTATTTACGTACGTACATATAATGTTGATTCTTACTCTTGAGAATCTTCAAAAACTTTGGAGAATAGGTGGGAGTTTTGCAATACATATCTAACATCTCTTTCTTTCTTTCTTTTTTTGATTAGATATCCCATAGTGGGTAACAATACTAAGACCATGTCCTCAGAATGGAACTTATGTTCTTCAAAAGCTGGGATAGGTTTCAAAGGAGCAACAGGAATTTTCTGGTTAGATTTTCCAATTAACTGATAGGTATGACAAGTTTTACAACACTGAGAAATGTCTTTACTAATTTTCAGGCCAAAAGAAATGTCTCATAATTTTCTCACATGTCTTGTTGACACCTAAATGTCCTCTCATGGGGATTTCATGGGCAACTTTCAATATTTCAGAATGATATGCTTTGGGAACAATGATTTGATAAACAATAGCCCAGTCCTCTGAAGTTAGCACATATGATGGTCTCCATTTCCTCATAAGCACACCATTTATGAAAAAAATAACGATTTGGAACTTTCTACAGTTCTTCTTTTGGGAGTGCATATTTAAATAGTGAAGAGATCTGCAGTTCTTTCTCTTGCTCAATGATCAGCTAACTTTTAGTAAATGGAACTTCACCAGGTGAATCAGATCCCTCACGTCCATCGTTGTTCCTCACTGAGGAATCATCAGTAGGACAATTATCCACAAGATCCTTGGCAGAACCAAAAAATGCCTGAGAAAAATCTGTAATATTTTCCTCTGAATCCATGTCTATCATCTGTTTTTGGCTTAATTTCTTAGGCTGAGCTAAAGTCACAGCACACAAGAGAAACACATCAGGATTTTCCTCAATGACAACATCATCCTTAGCTAAAACAGTGATCGGCTCACTAACCATTTTAGGTTCAGCAACAACTTTTCCCCCAGCCAAATCA